CTAACCTTTATGTTAACCTTTTATTTTGTAACGTGTAACTTTTTTGTTCTAAATAAACCGCGCATCGCTCGCCTCTAACGTCATTCGCGTACCTACATTTAGGTACCTTCATTTATTTTAAACGTTGGTGTTTGACCGTGATAACGGTACGAACGCCACAAGTCTAAAAGAAGTGGAGCTGGAACAGAAAATGTATACATTCCAAAGTTATGGTACTTCGAAAAATTGCAGTTCCTTTTAGATCAAGAGACCCCTAGGAGTGGTGTATCCAACATTTCTGAAAGCGAATCAAATGAAGGTTCAACACAAATCATGGTAAGACATATTTTATTTTATTGTATATTATTTAGATGCAGCTAGGTACACTAAAAAAGAAACAAATTAACAAAGTGTAGTTTATTTGGTAATTAACTACGCACCTATAATTTTTTTTTTTTTGCATAATATCAGCTTACGTTTTTTCAATAAAATTAAAATTAAAAATAATTAAATTACTTCAATCGTTTAATATAAGTTAGTATGAGTACATAAAGTGGTGCAGTTGGCTAAAAAAGTTAATTTTATTATAATGAAATAAAATTATAACTATTATATTATTACGTTTAAATAAATTTATTTTGCCAGGAAACTACACCATCATTAGAAAAGTAATCAACATATAAGTCCCTTACATCTTTAGCATTTTGCCGACTATTTCTGCTATGTCCTATTTCCAAGTCTGTCAATGTGTTTGGCAATGGCCTTTCACCCAACTCTATTGTTCCATCTTCAATATTTTCTTGGTCAGCACTTCCTGAAAAAATGTACTGATGTTGACGTTTTCTACACAAAAACTTGTGTAAGGTACAGCAAGCCATCACTACTTTATCAATTCGTTCAAGTTTAAGATTAATACTAGTATGAAATACCCGAAAACGATAAGCTAGTATTCCAAAAACATTTTCAATTACACGACGTGCTCTTGATAATCTGTAATTATATATTTTTCGTTCGATGTTGAGTTGTCCTTGTCCAAAAGGTTTCAAAAAATCTTCTCGCAATGTAAAAGCTTTGTCTCCGAGGAATACATATGGTAAAATTGTTGAACTACAATTAGGTTTTGAAGGTGTAGGTATATTTAATTCATTATGTTTTAATTTTTGATAAAATTATGTGTATTCAATAACACCACCATCGGATATCCTTCCATTGATTCCAAAATGCACCATAATCAGTTCATAATTAGCATTTGCAATCCCCATCAATACCAAACTATTGTAACCTTTGTAATTCCAATAATAAGACCCACTGCCTGCTGGTGGAGTAATACGAACATGTTTGCCGTCAACGGCACCCAAACAATTTGGGTAGTTCCACTTTTTTTCAAATTCAGAGGCGATTGTTTTCCATTCTTCTTCACTCTTTGGAAACTAAAACCAAAATATGTATTTAATTTAAGACCTTCTATGAAGGGCGGATTTAACGGGGGAAAAATGGACATTTTCCGCCTGGGCCTCCTACCCGAAAAGGCCCCCGGGCCTCGGACCCAGTCCTCAGTCTTCACTTATTTTCATTTCAACAAAAAATTTCTGTTTGTGAAGTTTTAGATTGGTAACACATTAAATACTAATAATAAGAAGTAAGTAATAATTATACTGTTTAGTGTTATAAATTGCTTACATAAATATATTTACCAATAAACAATCAAATATACTTTCTAAGTATCCCGAATACATTTTAAATACTTTTTTTTAAGTATTAAATACGGTATTTTGAATAATTTTTACAAGTATTCTTAAAGCAGTATTTTAAAACAGTACCTATATAGATATACAGATAGGTGTGTATTATCGAATATCCTGGGTTAGAGTGGGTGTACACATTTTTGAAAAATGATTACAAATTTGTACAAATTATTTAAACCAGTTTGGTACATTTTTACAGAGTGTAGATAACGATATAACTGGTGCTATTGAAGATGAACTCGAGGATAATTTATCTTCTACACCAATATCACCAATATCGAATTCTTTTTCTTTTGATAAGCCGTATCAGGCAACTCAGAATAAAAAGAAGAAGAAAAGGGATCTTTGTGATGAGGTTTTAGAAAAAGTTAGCAATAAATTGCAAAATGAAAATTTAGATGAATTTGACGTAATAGGACAAAATATTGCTTATAAATTAAGAGGATTATCGAAAGAGGTTAAACTGATGTCCGAAAAATTTATTAATGAAATATTATTTGAAGCCGAAATTGGAAATATAAATAAGTATACTAAAATGTCACTTCAACAACCTGTACCAAATCGATCTTTCCCGATACTGCAATCTCATGCACCATTCCAAATGCATACGTCATTAGAACCTCAATTACCCCATTATTATCTTTAAAAACCAGTGTTATCTCATACACCACTTGTTTCTCATAATGAACAACAACTTAATTTGTTATCTCATACACCACCTGTTTTTCATAATGAACAACAACTTAATTTGTCAGTTTTTCCTCAAAAACAACAGCAAAGTCATAATCCCCATCAACCACATACATCGCAAGATCTTCAAATAATAGAACAACTACAATCAAAAAACCATTTGCCAACACTGCTAAATCTTAATTCATCAGAAATTATGCAAACTCAACAATACTCACAATCAAACGTAACAACACTGCAAAATATTATATCATCAGAAACTCTACAACCTCAACAGTACTCACAAGCAGAAATAACAAAAGATTCTGCTTTGGTTGGAATACGTGACTACTACGAACAATCAGACAATTCAGAATTCTCAAATTAATATTTTCTTAAATTAGTTATTTGTGTTCTAAGCATATTTTACTGTTTTGTACATTAAAAAAAAAGTTAATTTTGTTTAAGTTTATAAGTTCGAAAGTACTCTACTGTGTTATATACCTATAATAAAATAAATATTATTATTAAATTAACAAACTTACCTTCAAATACTTGTCTTTGAGTACGGTGTGAAATGCACAACAGGTTTCTGGAATAATTTCACCCAATAATTGTGGAGATATGATGGTTGTAAATTTCAAGTCTTCGTAGCTACAACCAGTAGCTAAAAAGGGCAATGTTGCTGTCAACCATTCGTGAGGGGGGATTGATTTTCTTAAGTGAGTATCTTGTTTTACTATTAGAGGTGTCACTAACTGAAGTAATTCAAAATAGGTTTCTTCATCCATCCTTAAGTAATTATGCCAGTCTTCAGGATGGAACCGTAATTCGTTTAATAAGTTTATAAGCGAGTATTGCGATCTTTTCAGCAACCAATCTTTAGTCCATTTTCTCTTTTGTTTTTTACCTTTAATTTTATGAAGGACCAATGCCACGGCAGTAGCTGCCAAAGCTAAATTTACGGTGCGTGAAACAGGAGCCATAATATGCGATTAAATACAACTAGTACGTACTAGTACGTTGATAATAATGTTGATAGTTTGATGTCGATTCATTCGTCAAAAAAACGGTCCGTGTTGTTCGAACACCGTACAAAGATACAAAATGGATAGTGTGTGTCGTTCATCGGTGTACGAACTAAAAATGTGCGAACTACACCGTACACCGTACACGTACAAATAAAACCGTAGTGTGTGGCCAGCTTAAGGAATAAGAAGTATGCTCAATGATAAGACTGTGCATATTTTAAGGGGCAATGAATAATTCATTCATAAATTCCATATCATTTAATACCATAGATAAGTATATAATATGTCTTATACCTAGACTGACATAACGTCTCCGCTCAGAATCGTTTTTCTTATACAATGATATTATATCATTGAATTCAAATTTAATACCATCCATTATACAGTGACCCACTTGTAACCTACAGTACAGCAGAGCGACATCCACTTACCCACCTTTTTAAAAATGTATTGAAAGTATAAATATCTAATAATGACAAATAATTAACACGTAATTTTTTTCTTAATTGTTTAAAAAAAAAATTAAAAATGCCCTACAACTTCAAAAATGACGTTAAAAGTCACTAAAATGATATAAAAACTAAAAACTCATGATACGCTAAAAAATAAAAAATAAATAGCTATATAGATTCATATGATATTCAAACACTTTAAAGCTTGGAAAAATCGTTCCAAAAAAAGATTTCGAAATTAAAAAATATCTGCGCTCTATTCATGACTTAGTTAGGTATATTTAAAATTTAAATAATAATCTTAACACAATATTTTGTTTAAAGGAGATATTGAACCACCAATCATACCAACGGGGAATTGTTTGAGAACATTGAAGTCAAAAAAATTGGCTAATTTGAGAAGGGACAATGATGTATTAACGGGAGTTTGTAATTTGCACCAAATTAAAGATATTTAATTTACACCACTCCAGGTAGTCGAAAGTAGTGTTTGTAATTTGCACCAAAATAACGGTATGTAATTTGCACCACCCTCAGGTAGTAAGAAATAGGAATTGTAATTTGCACCAAAATTAAAATCGATTATTTTTTCGATAGTATCATTAGTACTATTGATAGTGTTATTACTCAATATTCTCGTTAACGCGACGTCAAGACTAGATGAACACGAATGACAATAATAATTTTTCGGGATTTTTCACCTTATCTGATAATATTTTGAAGTTTTACGTCCAATTGTCGGTCGTAATCGCGTTATATCGCGTTATATATATATTCATATAATGTATATCAGTTTATTATTTTGATCAAATATCTACTAAGCTATACGTTTAGTCTTGCTGTTTCGTCGTAATACGTAATTTAACGTAACATTTTTTATTGAAATATTTAATTTTTTTTCTTGAAATATGGAAATTAAGTTAGGTAATTAAAAGTAATCGCGGGGAAGATATTTTAGAATACGATAACCATACTTTTTATTTTGCGTATAAAACAAAAACTACAAATATAATTCGTTGGCGTTGTACACAGAGAAAATGTTCAGAAAAATTGTTTACTACAGGTGAAAATTTGACCAACTATTTTATAGATAAAAACTAAGCTTAAGTTATATTAGGATATAGAAACTTGTAAGTTGGTACTATCGACCAATTTTTTTTGTATACTATCGAAAAAATAATCGATTTTAATTTTGGTGCAAATTACAATTCCTATTTCTTACTACCTGAGGGTGGTGCAAATTACTTACCCTTATTTTGGTGCAAATTACAAACGCATTTTAAAAAAAATGGTGCAAATTACACATGTTTTTATATTTTGGGTCAATTTTGGTGCAAATTGACTACAGCCGTATTAACTTCTCTGGCAATAATGAAAAGAGAAGATGAATATAAAAATACAATACATGAAATAGGGTATTACCCTTTTTATGTTCATTATTATTGTTCAGAGCAAGTGCATATGTATAGAGGATATTGCAGTAGCACAAAAAATCCAAAATTGGTAATTGACGCAACAAGGTCTATTGTGAAAAAATTTCACAAATTTGGTGTAGAAAAAACAAGTTCACTGTATTTATACGAAGCTCTAGTTTACGATGGTACCAAACAACAGAACTTTTCTGTTACAAATATGATTAGTGAAAGACATACTACCATAGCTATTTCCAATTGGCTATTGAACTGGATAAGTGCTGACGTTAAACATCCAAAAGAGACAGTATGTGATAATTCCTTAGCTTTACTTTCAGCTGTTGTTCGTAGCTTCACGCAATATTCCTCACTTGCGGACTATGTAAGATCATGTTCCGATTTACTTACAAATAAATTAAACTCGGACTCACACTGGCTTCCGAAATGTTTTGTAAGAATTGACGTGGCACATTTTATAAAGATTTGTTCAAAATGGTTGCCATTAAAAACTGTGCCTCCTAGAGTTAAAGAGTTTATCTTACGTGCTGTAGGGCTCTTAATAAAATGTCAATCTCTTACTGAAGCTCATTCTTTATTAAATTCTTTGTTTGTGGTTATAATAAACGAAACTGATGGAATTGTTTTGGAAAGTGGATTAGAAACGCCTTGTGAAACACATAGAAAAAATTGATTGATGCTACTTCTACAGGTTTTGTTAATTTTCAACAACACTTTGATGAGATATTAGCTTATGCTGAAACGGAAAATGAGGGTAGGACCCTTTGGGAGGAAGTATATGAAAGTCAAGAAGAAGGACTTGATGAGTATGAAAATCATTTTCAGTCGTGGGCAAATAATATATATCAAAGAAGTACGACATTGGTAATAGAAGGATCTGGGTTAAATCCATTATACTTGCCATCGTTAGTTCCTATTCTCATTAAAATAATGAAATTATTGCCCCTATGGTCAGGTATAATGATTCCGATTTTTGGTTAAGGTGATGATGTGTCTAGTTCAGCGGCCGTTGAATCTAGCTTCAAAAAACTGAAGAATGTTACATTCAAGTATATACCGTTACCAACGGATATTGAAATATTTCTTGAAAATCACATAAGATCGCTGAAAGGTGCTTCACTTTTACGTGTATCCAAGAACAACAATCAATCTTCTTCGTGTTCAATTGTATCTGAGTTATGTAACAAAAAACCTCGAACAACATCAATTATTTCAGATGATTTTTATATCACATGAAAATGAAGAAAACCAAAACTTAACTACGTCGCCACTAGCTACAGATTATGTCAACGAAAAAAACAGTCTGGAATCTTTATCACCATTATTTGTTTTAAATGAGTTAAATAATGCAGAACGTGAATATCGCGCCACATCTCCCTGTGGCTTATACGTGGTAGAAAAATTGGTCAACGGGAAAAATCTGATAGAAACATCTAATAAACCAACATCTGATGATGATGATGATGATGATGAGTTCCAAAATTTAAATTTCATCAAGGTTCCACATGATAAGTCACTTGAATGAAGAAAGTCGCGCTATGGAAAATTGGTGTAGAAGAAGTAAAACGCAACGAAAAAGTACCTCTTACCTAAATCTAAACTGGCACCTACGTCATTTGAATATAAATACATCACGCACCAAAATGACGTTGTCAGTTTTAAAAAATGGTTCTAGATTTGCAGAATTAAAAAGTTGTAAATCGAAGGAGGGTAAAGTTATTTTGAGCAATACCTGTGCCTTCGATTCATTGACATCACTAATAATGGTTAGTAACATTTTATATTTTTTATAAGTAAATAGTATAATATTATTTAATCAATATTTCGAATGTTCTCTACATATCTTAATTTTCCGAGCTGGACAATAACGAGTAAAAAGATAAGGTTAAGTTATTTTTAATTAAGTTAGGTTAGATTAGCTGTTGATCATTTAGTTTTTCGTACAGCATATTATATAGCAAAAAGTAACCGCCCATTTAATGATCACTTTAATCTTTTAAAACTACAAAAACTCAATGGTATAAAAATTGGTACAACTCTACATTCAAGATTTTCATGTACTAATATTGTTGACCATATATAATTAAAAATGAAACAAAAAATTGTTTCCAATATTGTAGAGACTGAAGCCAAGTTATCAGTTTTGATCGATGAATCTACTACCATCAGTGCAGTTTGTGGTATGGTTGTTTACATTAAAGCTTCCATATCTTACGATGATCCTGTTCTTATTTTTTTAGACCTTGTGGAACTTGTTAGTCAAACAGCAGATAACATTATGAATCAACTTATTGACTGTTTAAAAGAGTCTGGTTTTAATGAGAATTATTTATTACAGAACTGGATATCATTTGTAAGTGATGTGGCAAGTGTATTATTGGGGAAAAAAATGGTGCAGCAAAGCGTTTAAAAAATAGATATCCATTAATATTCAGTTTACACTGTATGAATCATAGATTAGAGCTGGCCGTTAGTGATGCAGTTAAAGATGTTAACGCTACAAATCATTTCAAATCATTTATGGATTCATTATATGTTCTATATAATGCATCACCAAAAAATCAAAATGAACTAAAAAATATCTGTAATGATTTGGATACTATGTTCTTAAAAGTTGGACGTGTATTGGATGTCCGCTGGGTGAAAAGTAGTTCGAGGGCAGTTAAAGTGGTATGGAAAATGTATGAAGGTTTATGTAACCATTTTTTAAATGCATCATCAGACCCAAATAGAGATAGTAAAACAAGAGCCAAGTACAGTGGATTAAGAAAAAGGCTAGCTAGTCCTGAATTCCTATTAGATCTTGGTCTAATGTGTGATTGTCTTAATGAACTATCAGTTTTGTCAAACATACTCCAGAAGCGTTCTTTAACTTTAATTCAATTTCATCAACATATAAATAGAAGTATAAGAGTTTTGACTTCATTAAAAGACTTAAAGGGTGAATATTTGACCAAAGCGACAAATGCTACAAATAACATGAATTTTAAAAATATTACATTAGAAAAAAACTCTAAACTAATAAATATCAATCAAAATCAATTTTTAACCAGTCTTGTTGATAACTTAAAAGCTAGGCTCTTGGATAATGAACAAGATATATCAATACTCCAAGATATGCAAATTATAGATGTAAGTGAGTGGCCAAAAGACATAAATTATAATAATATAACGTTATGGTGAAGATGAAATCAAACGATTATGTAAACGTTTTCAAGTCAATAAGAATGATGCTATCAATGGTTTCAGACAAATAATAGATGATCAAACAGTTTCATTTAAAAATGTTATGCCTGAATTTTATAACTTGGTACAAACATTTCCTTGTTCAACAGCAGAGTTCGAACGGGGGTTCAGTCTAATGAACAATATATGCACTAAGTTACGTTCTACGTTAACTATTAAACATTTAGCCAGTCTTATGTTTATAAATGTAAATGGTCCTCCACTAGATGAATGGGAACCAAAAAGTTATATCAGTAGTTGGTTGGTAAATCATAAGACTGCTGAAGATACCAGAACAAAAAAAAACGTCAACAAGAAACCAGAAACAAGAGAGGAAAAAAAAAGCATTTGGAAAATATTATAGATTATAATAATAATTATTAAAATACCTATGTATTATTATTATATTTATATGAATTAATTTGTTATTAATAAAGAAAACTTTTATCAATTTGTAATTGTTTGGTTTTAGTTAAATGTTTTATATTTTAGTATTTTACTAATTGATAATAATTAGATACTCTGAAATGTTATGTGTAGGGCAAGGAATTGCATGCATTTACATACCTACTTTGTAGTTTTTATGGTTAATTTTGTGACATGGGAGTAAAAAAATACAATTCACAAAATTCGGAATGAAATACCTACTTAACCTATTTAGTGCATATTTTGACTATTTTGGATTTAAAAGCAATATATTTAAAATAAAAAGTCATTTCGTGATTTAATTTGATTTTGTTTTTCATTCAGTAAGTAGTTGAAAGATACCTACTTGTATATTATATGTAATCTGATAATTAGATAATTCTGTCATTACCGTATTCGAGTGAAGCGAGAAAATTTTTTTTTTTGATTTAATGTTATAGTTATGTCATTGATACCTAAGATCTAGAAGGAGTATACCCACGAATATTTTTAGCAATACACCATTGGTTATTACCTACGTTTGATATACGCATTGTTATCATTTTCGTTAATAATTAACGAAAATGATAACAATGCGTATAATTATTATAGTGAAACCAGTTGTCCAAGTGAAAAAATGTCTTAAATAAAATAACGGTGTTTGTTTACCATTATTAACAATAATCTCAATTTGTTAAATTTTGAGATACGTCTTGTTGTATCAACGATGAAATTTCATACATAAAACTGAAATCATCGTTCTGTACAAAACAATTGTTAAAATCAAAATTTTGTATCAGAACATCATTGAACCACGTCAGCACTAAATAATAAATTACTAATATTAGATGGTCTGATGACACAGTTGTTATACATAGGAGTAGTATAGAGGTCAATATGGTACACTTTCATTTTAAATGCAATATTTCCTAAAATATTTTTTCATAGAAATTGAAATGCAATATTCCTTTAATTATTTTGAAAATCGTGAAACGCAATAATTATTAAAATATTTTTCAAAAAATCTGAAATGCAAAAATACTAAAAATAATTTCCTATGGGGGTGTTACGTACGGCCCTTCAGGGATCCAAAAGCTGTTGTACTTTTACAATAAAATATAGTCAATTTAAATATAAATCAATTGTAATTTATTAAAACCAATAATAATTAATATAGTCGTGGTGAATTGTAATGCCGGGAGTTGACTCATTGTAGTAGTCGATAATCTCCATGTAAGTTGTGTGTAATGGCTGATGCATAAGCTGCTCGCTCGGTCTTGGCGGCTCTGGTACATCTAATGTGTATTGGGGCCCTGGCCTCTATATATACGAAGGCGACGCCCTTTGAATTGAGCGGCGCGTGGCATGTAGGCGCCCTTGGGAAGTTGTTGTGGTTTGAAGCGTCTATTCTAGCTATGACCACTTTTGGGTGCGGTCGACGAGGCCGCTTTCCACATAAGTGGTTCTTGTTATTATGAGCGTTTACATGAATTGGGTAATCCCATTACACCTCCCCACCAAAAAAAAAGATTATTAACCTTTAGGCTTTAAGGGTTAAGAATCTTTAACAATCATAGTTAAGGCGGCTCTTAGTGACTATTATTTAAGGGGAACAATTTAGGCAATTTCTAATCTTGTCGTCGCCGCCCGTAATCTATGTGTTAGTCGTAAATGATTATTAGTGTGAAATTCGAAGAAATTCGAACTCGATAACAATAGATTTTATATCGCCCGGCTGCGGGCACACGGTTCAATAGCACACGTACGCGCATGCACAAGTCAACGTAATCACTCTCGAAAAATATTTTTGTACACTCACAACAGTGAAAAATGCTAATAAGCTGGCGAAAAATACACATACTTCTAGTAGTCCAATTTCAATTTTGAAAAATTATTTGAATTCGTCAGCCTCTTTTCTATGATTTGTAGGAAACCGATTTTGGATATTTTAGATAATTTACGTATATTACGGTTCCAAATGACTGCTTGATTTCTCAAATTTAACTTGCACTTTTAAGTGCTAACTAGACAAAAAGATGAAAAAGTTTTTCCTACAGATCATAGAAAAGAGGCTAACGAATCCAAATAAGTATTCAAAATTGAAATTGGACTACTAGAAGTATGTGTATTTTTCGCCAGCTTATTGGTCTAAATGCATGAAAAATCCAATCGTTTAGAGCCGCCTTAAGTTAATTAATCACAATAGTTGATTTACAATTTGACATACATTTGATTACAATTTGTTATAATAGTTTACAATTTTGATATTACAGTGTAGACATTTACAATTTTTAGTGTCATACATAATTACTGTTACATATTTATTATATGTATTAAAATATATATATCGTGATTAGTAAGAATAAAATGAATACATAAATTATTAAATAACTAGTGTTAGTAAGAAGGAACAATAGTCCTTTTAAAACAAAAATAGTATTGAACCTGAAATTACAACATTAAAAGTGTAAGTATATAATATAATGTGAGTACATAATGTAAGTATTTCCCCTTGATTACAATAATAATTATTATCTTCCACCAATTAATTTTTATACTAAATCTATATGAATAATTATTAAAATTGTCATACACATATGCAACCATAAATGTTTG